GTTTGGTTGGATTGCAAGGCCCATCAGCTGCACCGCTCTCCAGCCAAGAGTGTGGAGTGATGGGATTTAGAGTTTCAGACCTCCCGAAATCTCTGTGGCTGGTGATATCCCCATCAGTGAGGAAGGGGAGCGAGGGCCCAACTCCTTTCTCCCTTTGTCCCCATATGTATTACTGCCTGAGCCCAAGTGGCAAATGGCATTCTCCTTATGCCCAGGTGTGCCCAAAGCCGACACAGTTCCTTTAGCACCTGAGGCGAGTAGATCTTCCCCTCCATAGGGTCTCTCCCTACTCCAGTGGGGACAACCCAAGCACAGGCATCCCTTTGGGTGGTGGCTCCACTTTCTGCTTGATGGAGTTGAGGGTGCCATCCTTGCCCTCCAATAAGAAGAACTCTCTTTGCAGCCTGTCTCCAAGGAGCCATAGTCCGACACTCGGGAGCCCCAGCAGCCCCCTGGGCCTCCACCCCTGGAGGTAAGAGAGGGACCTTTTCCAGGGGGGTGGGGTGATCTTGCAATTGAGATGGGGAGGGTGGCCTTTGCCCCTCCTTGGCTGTGCCACCCTCCATCTGATGCCCATGGCCAAGGCCGTCTGCTGGAAAGATTAATGAATAACTGTTGTTGCTATGTTATGCTAGGTGCCAGGGCCAGTCTTGGGGGTGGGGGTGTTTTTAATAAGTCCATAGTTTAATTTGGTTTTAATTCCAGGTTGACTTTTTACATGTTTTGAATTGCAATATTTGGAATGGGAAGAAGGCAGGTTGTAAAATGCCATTGCCCTTTTTTTGCATCTCTGCAAATCCCCTTCTGCCCAAACTCCCAACCTTGCATTCTTCTCAAAGAAAACCTCAACTCAACACAATGGACAAGGTTAAGAGCTTGAAAACTAAAGGGTCAAACAAGCACAACTGCAGCTGGATTAAGCACCTTATAACAGTCTAGAACAAAAGATTCAGAGAACTTCCCAAAGAAACCGATTTTAAAAAGAAATTGACAACTGCTCTCTTTTTCCAAGTTTGCAGAAACAAACCAGTTTCAAAATGCACATAAAAACATGGTAAGAAGTGGGAAGCGAACTAGTCTCTAGAATCAGGGCCATCTCTAACTTGGGAGCCATGCAAATAATAGCATGGCCCCCTTGTCTGGGCATGCCTTTTGTAGTAGTAATTTCAATATTAATAATAATTTAGAGGTGTGTGTGTACCTGTTTGTCATGGTGAAAATGAATTGCATTCATTGGATTTCTTCTGGATGCTGGTTGGGCATTGGTGAATATGTCTAAATGGTGATTTATTTGAAATCAAAGATCCAAATGACACCTGAAAGATACTTATTAGGGACAACGGATGATAAAATTAACAGTAAAATTTTTCAAATTTTATTTTATATGACAATAGCAGCCAGTATTATATATGTCCCAAATTGGAAGAATAATATTACCAACAGTTCAAGGTTGGATAATAAAATGAATAGATATGGCCAAAATGGATAAACTAACTTGGCTTCATCTGCGCTGCAGAAATAACCCAGCTTGGCACCACTTTAACAGCCTGGCTCTGTGCTATGGAGTTATAGGAACTGTAGTTTTGTGAAATATTTAGCTTTCTCTGTCAGAAAGCTGCAGTGGTATAACAAACTAGTTCCCAGAATTCAATAGCATGAAGCTATGGCAGTTAAAGTGGAGTCAAACTGGGTTATTTCTGCAGTGTGGATGCATTATAGTAATTATTATTTTGTTTTCTTAAAGGGAAAAGTCCTTTGTATACTTTTAATTGTACTTTTTAAAAAATATTGTAAGCCACTCTGAGTCCCAGTTCTGGGAAAAGGGCAGGAAACAAACAAACAAACAAACAAATAATAGCCTAGGTAATCTTAGGAATGATTTGGAACAAGTTATGAGGTATTGAAGTGACATTTGAGTGAACTTGCCATTGTTGGATTTGCAGAGTAAAAGACACAAAGGTTGTCAGTTTGTAAATAGTAAATGTTTAAGCATTTTTTTAAAAAAAAATTAGAAGGAATCAAAGTTATGTTCAAGACAAGGCAGTATGAATAAACAGTTTAATCATCAAGATCTGTTAGGCTGGAAGTTAGGATGATGATGATGATGATGATGAAGATGAAGATAGATGAAGATTATGTTGATGATTTTATGTGTAATGCCCATTCCACCAGTATCTGATAAAGAGATTATAAATGCAAGAGGATTGTATGTGATTATTGGTTAGATTTTTGTGGAACTG